ATTAACAAACTCACCACATAGGATCACGGGTCATCGTCATCGTCGATATCCCTCCTCTGCACGCCGCTACTGCTTCCTCCAGCAGGTCCAGTCTGAAAATATGTTGATTTAAATTTAGAGTATGAAATTTAGCAATAGAAGACATGTATTATTAATATACCTGTGTGCCAGTGTCAAAATCTACATTGTCCATGACTTCTCCAAATAATTCACCCGAAATCTTGTCGGACAAGCACAATACGATGTGTGTGAAAATATCATCGCTAGTGGGGGATGGTGGCAAATCTGAAACCATAGCTTTCGTTAGCTGCATGAGTAGTGTATGGTCGATCTTACTGCGCAAATAACGAGTGACGCGCAGAATTGTAGCAGTGGCAAAACTCCTTGTAGATGATCCTGTCACAGTCGAGGATGCTGAGGATGCTGCGGAGGATTTTCTGGATGTACACCGTGAAGCTCCAACCCCCATCAATGGAAATCTGCCCCGGTTATTATACCCCATCACATTCATAGCGATGGAATCATTTTCCTCTCTAGACAATACATGAGGGTCATCAACAGCTTCTTGGGTAGCACGTAGTGCTGCATCCTTTGACGCAGCATCAATAGTATCCTAAATCACATAAGGAAGAGACATATATTTGAGTGCAAATAATGAATTGAACATGAACATATTACATAAGATATAATGATTTATTTTTAAAATTTTTACCACCAACACCATGTTTTCTTTAATCTTGACATCATCTTTATATGTCGAGCGAAAGGTGCCGTAAGCTAACTTTGCCTTCAAATTGATCGGCATTATCGGCTTCCCCTACAAAGTATAATAAATTAAAATTGTTTGGCCATATTGATAATTGTAGCATGTGAATACAATATTTAAATATTATACTGTGTCTCGACAATAACGGTACTCAAGATTGGCAAAGGACGTCGATCCCAAGTGGTGGTCAAGCTTGCGCTTACTAAGACGGTTCGTCGAGCCCTTCTTAGATTTATTCTACAAAACAATATATGTTACTAAAGAAGAAATGTATCTACAAACTGTACTGCGTATCACTATTAAAATGATCAATACCTGCGCTGACTCGGTATCCCAATATAAAAGAAGCGCCGTGAAATGATCGATGTCAACCCTAGCGTCGAGATTCAAATATCTCTGCCAATCTTGTGTATATTTATCATATGTTAAGACCTTCAGCTCATGCCGCCACTGTTTGAGCACGACCTCAACCTTTATGTTGAAAACATAGTGCCACGCTCCAAGGTAATCCTCAAGACAATAGTAATCCTATTTAAGAGGCAGCTTAAAAATGCAAAATTATATTTACAAAAGTCACATAAGCAACACACTATTTGAATAAGGGAATATACACATAATAAAATTTAATCGATATAGGCTGAAATGTTAAGGTAAACACACATGTTTGTTTCCCAGTCTGATGATATAGGCTGAAATGTTAAGGTAAATTCACTATTTAATTCTTATAATTGAATGCATCATGTTGCAAACTACCAAAAAGCAATAATTACAGTAAACAAGAAATTCAAAATTAGGATAGAATACATCATTGTAAGATCATAGAATATAGTCTCAAGGATGACTATCATAGAATATAGTCTCAAGCAATAATTTACATACAATATAAACTTTATAACCATATCAGCTTCATCTATGTGGGATCCCAATTAATAGGTATATATCCGCTACTTCTATTTTGTATTCTTGACAGGATGCTTTACTAGATAAGCACATAGTGGAAGGCACTTTTGGTGAAGAACTATGTAAGCCAATCGGTCGGCCCATTAAATCAATAATGGTAAATGTGCTGATCAATGTGAGGTGAGAAAAGAATAAGAGAATCGAGAATATCTAGTTTAATGCACTAAACTAGATAAACCTATACCATCAGTTCTAAAATATAGTATGATTCCTAAAATATACAATTTAAGGAACTCATTGTATGAACATATAAAATTCATCTTCTTATGTATTCTTATGTATTTTTGAAGCATTAATCAAGAACATCTAGTGAAATGCACTAAACTAGATAAACATATATCATGAGTTCTAAAACATATGTATTCTTATGTATTATGATTCCTAAAATATACAATTTTATAGTACTCAAGTATTGAAAAATACTGAACTAATGAACATATACCATCAGTTCTCTCCATATATCTTCGTATGCCTTCCATGGAAGCTCCTTGAATTTGAAGTACGGGTTCACTATAGTCGCTCTCCGTACTAAAACACCGATGTAGTTGTTCAATTTTTTCGACCAAGGTCCGATTGGCAAATTATCGGACCACTGAAGAATACCCCGAAATCCGGTCGGTGCTTGTTTTGAATCGGGCTTGCTAGCACCCCATCCAATCTGTTCTTTATCATCTCCCTTCGCCCCTACATTGTCAACGTGTTTAGTACCCACTGGTTAAGTGAAAAAATGCAGCCGGGAATTAACAAATTTACTAATTTACCTCTCTCCACTTCTCTCTTCATCGCAGCAAGAGCAACTTCCTTTCTCAATTTCATCATATGTACTGACTGAAGTCTTCTTTTTGCTCATTCTGAAAGGAAACAGTTGATAATCTTCTATTAACCTTTTACTATGTTATCTTGAGGTATCTCAAGATTTAATTTAAAGCAGTTGCTAAGTGCCAAATAATTTGACTATGAAATAAATTGCAGAATGGACCCACTTCCTGACGATATGCCAAATAATTTGACTATGATTATGTTATCTTGAGGTATCTTAATGTAAACATACACTTTGAAGTATCAGTAAATAAGATAGTCAATAAGATAGTCAATAACCTGTAGTGGGGGATGCATGTGTATCACTGAGTCCGGGTGAAGAGTAATTTGTGCCTGGAATATTATCTATGCAAACAAAAAAGTGTTCACTAACAGACAATAGATTTGAAAATGCTAGAGATATACTTTAAATATGATTGAATTATCAATATAAATACCTATATGAGGCGATAAAGCTAGAGTTGTGTCCCGCAGACGACCCGATAATTCAACATCATCTACACATAAAAAAAATACTTAATGAGTACAAATTATGAGCGAAACATATTACTTTGAGTTGTCCAGAGATAATTGATAATTCATACCTATATCTCTAGGTGATGCACGATGTGCCTCATCAAGATTCTCTAACCCTAGGCTGGTAGACCTTGACCGATCACGCGATCGATCAAATAACCTTGTATTCTTCATCTGTACAATTTGAATTAGGAGATGCAAAACAAGAAATACCTTTATGCAATAAAATATTATATTGCAATTAAATATAATCATAACATAATGCGATTACTGAATTGACTTATTAAAGATGTATACCTTCCGTAGGTTGCTATTTTCGTATTTTTCGAGGTGAATCTAGTATTGTTCTGGCGATATTCAATGTTGTCTGTTTTCGCCTACTAATTCTTGACCTTGTTTGCACATCTGGCTCGGGTCCTCTATCACTGGCTAAAATTGGGTTGTCAGCCTGAATCTCTGCGTCTGTCATATCAAGCATGACGTTCTGAGGGTAAGAGAAGTTTTGCCAAATTTCATCAGACGACCCAATTGGTTCGTTGTCCTCATCACTATCATCGTTATTATTAGGGAGGACAATAGATCTTGGCTCCTTATACAACACGACCCAATCGTGTGCAACATTTGGGTCTTTCACATAGAAGCACTGGTCCGCCTGTTCTGCGAATATGAACTTCTCATCTAGATAAATCTCTTTGTCGAGATTTACAAGTGTAAACCCATAGTGATCCCTGCGCGGTTTGGCAGGACTCCATCGAACCTTAAACATTGTATATTTACGCTGAGTTTGTTTGCCATATCCGTAAATCACCTCTACAATATCTTCCAACTGGCCGTAATATAATATGTCAGCTTCAACTGGGTTCTGATCTCTTATGCTTGAAAAACATTCCTGAGCAAAACACCCCATGACCCCACTATTTTGTGTTACCCTTTTATCATCGGTCGCCACTGTTTTAAACTTATACCCATTAATGATGTGTTCACTATTTCGTCTTACTTCATAGTAAGGACATTGTACGTGAACTAAAATATCTTCAGATAGTACGACACCAGCGAGAACGTCTTTCTCAACCTAAACCGAACATCAATCGAACTAAAAATTATCTTTGTCTGCTTAAAAAATTTAAATTGAAAAATACAATAATAGTGCTACGCTACTTACATCGGTTCTGAACCAATCGGGAAAATCTTTGATGTGTTTTTTTTGAATAGCATGTGCTGCATTCATGCCTGATATTTCAGTGTTAAGCTTCTCCAGATGTCGCCTATTAGAACAATGAATATGGTTGTATTTGTATAATGAAAGTAAATAATTCATCCAAGGTCAACATTGCTATATTAATATATATTACCTTCGATAATCGTTGAAAATGTCAAGATTATTCAATACATATGCATGAACCTGCTCCAAGTCAGATCTTTGATATTTTACGAGTTTCTTCTCCTTAGTTGGGGTTTGATCAGCTGTTACACGATTGCGCATGTAACGTGATGCAAACGTATGACATTCGTTGGTCACGTACCCTTCAGCCATAGAACCCTCTGGACGAGCTCGATTGCGAACGAGGCGCTTCATAAATCCCAAATATCTACAATAACTCAAACTTTATGAACTACAACTCAAGGGATAGGACAAATTAAAGATGTATACATTACATATGAAATTAATACACATAGTGAAGTTCCTAACCTCTCAATTGGGTACATCCAACGGTACGATACAGGACCCGCAACTATTGCCTCTCTTGCTAGATGTTGAGTAACATGGACCATGATCGTGAAAAAGGAAGGAGGAAATATTAATTCCAGGTTGCATAAAATTAATGATATTTCTGTTTCAAGCTTTTTAAATTCATTCACATCTATAACTTTGGAGCACAATTTCCTGAAGAACCCACAATACTCCATAATAATTTTCGATGCATCTTTCTCCATATTATTACGCAATGCAACCAATGGGTAATTGATGTAGAAGAACATGATAATCGTGTGTCTTTAGGCCTAAGAGTTTCCTCTCCTGCACCTGAACATTATTTGATATATTAGCTGAATACCCATCTGGTGACTTTACTGATTTGAGGACCTCACAAAATCTCTGCATCTGCTCTGTCGACATCGTAACACAAGAGGAAGGCTTATGTTTTTTCTTAAGACCAACATCTTGTTCTTGCAACTCTTCTCGTATATTCAATGCAGCTAAGTCTTGATGAGCCCTTAGGTCATCCTTTGACTTATTAGGATCTTGAAGGAGAGTTGAAACTATATTGTCAGAAACATTTTTCTCAATATGCATGACATCCAAGTTATGCCTGATTTTAAGCTTTTGCCAATATGGTAGCTGGAAGAAGATACTGAATTTACTCCATCCCTTTGGTAATTTATCGACTCCATTATCAACATATGCCCGTTGGATTGCTCTCTTCCTCTTCAGTGTCTTTTTCTTTTTCCCGGAGCCTCTAACCTTGAGTGAGTCGTACTTAGAATATCGGTTCTTACCAAATCTTATTTTTGGAAGATGCTCAAGCAACTTTACAATATCAGCACCGGTCATTTGACGTGGTTTATTCCTAGTCTCAACAGTGCCATCAAACTTATTGCTCAATTTTCTGTATTTATGGCCCGAGGGCAACCATCTCCTGTTGAACCAATAACAACATTTTCGACTATATGGTAAGTGAATGCCTTCAAATTCTGGGCCACATACTGGACAAGAAAACTTGCCTTTTGTAGACCAACCAGAAAGATTAGCATAAGCTGGAAAATCATTAATTGTCCACATTAAGATAGCACGAAGTCTAAACGACTCTTTTGCATGTGCATCATATATCAACATACCTTCCAACCATAACTGTTTTAGCTCATCAATTAAGGGCTCTAAGTAGACATCAATATCATTACCCGGTGCATGCTTACCCGGTATCAGTAATGAGAGTATCATATACGGTTGTTTCATACAAAGCAGTGGGGGTAAATTATATGGCATTAAGACAACTGGCCATGTAGACCAACCTGAACTCATAACCCCGAACGGATTGAATCCGTCGCTAGCAAGCCCAAGTCTGACATTTCTGCATTCATGAGCGAAATTGGGAAACGTCTTATCAATATGCTTCCAAGCCTCTGCATCAGCTAGATGTCTCAACTTACCATCTTCTATACGACCCTCTTTGTGCCACCTCATGCTCTTAGCGGTGTCTTTATTCATATATAGACGTTGCAATCTAGAAACTAATGGAAAATGACGAAGCACCTTAGCTGGAATCTTGCTCTGCATGTACACTGACTCTGTTGTCCGCCTTGTTGAAGAGCGGGTGTGTTGTTTCCATCGAGATACTCCACATGTTGGACATTCCTGAAGTTCTTTATTATCCGTATAGTAGAGAATACAATCATTGGGACACGCATCAATCTTATTGTAATCAAGTCCCAAATCGGAAACGATTTGCTTAGCCGCATAAGTTGTTTTAGGAATGCTACGCTCTCCTCCTGGAACTACCTTCCGCAACAAATCAAGAAGCATTTCGAAATAAGTATTTGCCATTCCACTGAGGTTCTTAATATGCAAGAGCTCCAACATAAATGAAAATCTGGAGTACTCGGTGCAACCCTCATACAGATCCTCTTCACTGTCCTCCAGTAGTTTCATTATACGATCCAAGTCCTCAGGAATATGAGCATCTCCAAAGCCTTCTGGGTCATCAACATCTTGAATCTCAGTTGCATCTTGGACATCATCTACGATATCATCTTCACTGTCATTGTTAATATCGTATTCGGTATGGCTAGGTCCACCTTCAGTTTGTAAATTTTCTATATCATCTATATCAAGAGCATGACTGGCATCAACATGCACATCTGGTACTTCAATTTCAGTACAGCCTTCCCGGTGGTAGGACCAATATTTATATTCAGCGTAAAACCCAGAGTTTGCTAAGTGACTTCGTATTTCATCTCTATTTTTCAGCTTCATATTCTTACATATATAACAGGGGCAGTACATTGCACCGCTACTTAAATTATTTGGGTTCATTTCGGCATACTTCATGAAGGCTTCACATCCATCCCTATAACGTCGATCGCGAAACCGTTCAATCCTAGGGATATCTATCCATGACTTGTCAGGAATTTTCCTCATCTGTAGGTAATATCTAATTAGAAACTCTATTTGATAATAGATAGTATACCCATATACTTTATACTATTCTTAAACATACGTTGCAGCATTTAAGTTAGGCTCATTGACTTATGTTTGAAACTTATTAAGGTAGCTTCAACTAATTAGCACCGTCTAACGGCTGTCATAGGAAGGCTTCTATCCCATTAAGAATATAGTAGTGCTTACATCCAACTTCATATACTTTGTATATTTTCATTTCCTAAAAATTTCGGCAGCACCTACCCGTTGTTCTCCCTGTACACTGTGCGGATGTTATTATGCGTATTGATAATATACCAAAACGCAGAACATACGCTTATTGTACACGGAGAACAACATGTACGAGTTGCCAAAATTTTCAAGAAATGGAAACATACAAAGTATATAAAGTTGGATGTATGCACTACTATATTCCTAACCCGTCCGAGAAGGACAGATCCAATAATTATAAATTTATATACCAAATCTTTCCTAGTATAATATAAAATGAACGATCATTTTTGAGTAGAAAACTTTATCTCCTTCCCAAAAATTCGAGTCGTTTATCTTATATTATAACCTCAAAGAATTGGATGTAATTATTGGACGGGAGTCTAAAGATAACGTGATATTTTTTCACCTAAATTGGATATATAACACATTATTATATAATATTGTGTTATATATCACTCTATTCTTTTGAAAACATTTTCTTCTATAACTCACACTAAATTTAAAATATTGTTGTTAGCAAGACCACAAACATCGAAAACGGTCGACACGCAAGCCATCGGCGGCCAGAAACATACTGTCTGCTTTATTGACATCTCTGGTTGGAGTAAACAAGGTTCTAAATCTGTCTCATATCAATTTGCCCTTTCACATTACCAAAATAGGTCCAGCACAAGAGTAAGCAGAAAACAAATCTCATATATTGTGATATTTGAAGGACTTCGGAGCAACTCCAAAACTAATATGGAATTGTCAAAATTGGTACTTGAGAGATTAATATACAAAAAACATATAAAATTTAAAAACAGCAATTTTCGAAGCCATACCTTGAACCCAATCACAAATGGCAGCAACTTAAGGAGAGCAACCCGAAGAGAGGAGGAAATAAGCTACAAAAGAGAAAAGCCTAGCTCAGATCTAGGGTTCCGTTGTACACGGGGAGAGAGAGGAGAAAGGGGGAGATCGAAACCCTAGCTCAGATCTAGGGTTTCGACGAGAGAGGAGAAGGGAAGAGGGGATCGGAGAGACAGAGGTTACCTGCGTGCGTACATTGAGTCAGAACTTGGTTTCTCGGCGGCAGCGGGGTATCTCGCCGGCGACGAGTTTGGAGAGAGTGGCTGAGATCGAAGGGGAAGAGAGGGGGTTCGAAGGGCTGCGATCGGAGGGTTTAAACCCTAGCTCAGATCGAAGAGAAGGGGAACTGAAATTTTCGTGAGGGGATCGAAGAAAAGGGGATCTAAAAATTCTTGGATAGCATCGAAGAAAAGGGGATCTGAAATTTTCGAGAGGGGGTTCGAAGGGCTGCGATCAGAGGATTAAAAGGAAAAGAGGAATTTTCTTTAGGTGGGTCCCACTATTCTAGACGGAATAATCCGTCTTTAATACTTCCCAGACGGATATTTCCGTCTGGAATAGTGGGACCCACGTTTTTTTGAAATTAAAATGTAAAAGAAAGGTACAGTGCTTATTCTAGACGGAAATTTCCGTCTAGAATACCCTCTAGACGGAAATTTCCGTCTACAATAATTTATTCCAGACAGAATAATACAGACGGAAATTTTCCGTCGCAGGATTTAGCATCCTAGACGGAAAAATTTCCGTCTAGGATAATCCGTCTGCAATAATCCGATTTTTACTAGTGTTTCTTTGTGTGCTGTTTGCAGTTCACCTTCAACAGGACTAATTACATACATCTCTTTTTGTATTGTTTGTGATTTGCCTTTAACGGGGCATCCACCAGTCTGTTAAAATTCTAAAATTTTCTTTTTAGGAGTTCTAGAAGCTTAATTATTTTCTAATCTAGGAGTTGGATCTATATTTATGAGGTTTAACTCGGATGTCTGAGAAATCATCTAGAACACAAATTATTGTTATGAGTCTGATTAGATCAATACATAAACGTTGACTTCTCATTAAATAATTTTTAGAAAGAACTTTCAAAGAGTCGCAGAATGTGTCAATTCTTTGATGTCACAAGCTTTCCGCTACTTTTTTTTTCCCTTTCTTTGCTGCTAGAAAATCTTATTTATATTAGTAGGATTAATCAATAGTAGTCACTCAAAATCTTGAGCTTAAGTTGCATCAAAAGTAATGCTTTGCTCCAGTCACCTCAATAACAAACTATCAATAGAAGGTGGGTAAAGATGGTGTAATTAATATAGTCACTTGGTTCAATCAAAATTGAGCTCTTCTTGGAATACATGTCTCTTTAGCGTCCCACAAGTCATCATGCATGTCCTCATTTATGTAATATCTAAAGGATACATTTTTGTAGAGTAACTAGTTCTTGTGCACGTGCAATGCACGTGGTTAAATATCATAATAAATTTTTTTATTTATTTTATTACTATAAAATAAGTCAGATTCATTTTGAGTTAAAATCTATAAACATGGATATTATTACATTTGTCATAAAATTTATTTAAATATTTTAAAAAAATTTATGATGTAGATGATTGATTTTGAAAATCTCTTCGGGTTAGGAATAAACAACAAACAAGTTTGCAGTGGAAGCTAGGGGAATATAGTACCTTCTTAAAAATTATTAATCTTTAGTTAGTTTGTTTATAATGATATGATCTCATTGTTAACTAACTACAATGCCTAATACTTTTTTTTGTTGGGCTCATGTGAGTTCTCATTGCAATGAACGTTATACAATATAAGTACAAAGAAAAAATACGAGTTGATCAGTGGTGTAGTTGGTGAGGGGAAACTCCAGCAGCTTAATTTTGTATGTGAATATATTATAGATGGAGATAGAGAAGGGTGATTTTGAAAATAGTGGGTGTGTGTGGGTAATTAATATGGTTTTTGTTTGTGTGTTTTTTTCGTTTATTTTCATGATATCTGTGGTCCTGTCGATATATAAAGCTATAGCACTACTACTCTCTTTTGATTTTGTAGAAGAGTTTGGGTGTTAAAAAAAGTTAAATTATCTAATCCTGTTAAAGTTGGATCATATAAGTTAAGCCCATACATGAAATTTATTTTTTTGTTGGTCAATGAATTAAATTTTTATTCATCAGCCAAATGAAGAATTTATGTACATCAAAAACCAGGTTCTAGCTTGACCTGGTAAACAAAATCAGACCTTACATCATCTCTAATGTTTCTTTCATATATACAGGTATGTCATAATTCAGAATTATTGAGTAAATGGAAAATTTGATTGTTTGAAAGAAGACCACAGACTCCCTAGCTTTCCCTTAAAAAATTCTGCCATTTCTTTCTTGCCAAATTGAGTATATAGCAGCAGCTAGTGCCATTCTCTTTAGTTCCTTCTTAAAACCCTTCCCTCTCAAATTGTGAGAGTACCAATGAATGGGCAAGCTCCAATTACAGGTTCTCAAAGTGAATCTCATCCAGTCCATCATCTTATTCCAAACATCAGCTGAGTATTGGCATTCAAAGAATAAATGCCTGCAGTTTTCTAACTGACTAGAACATAGAACACATTGGTTCATTTCTAGCATTCTTAGTCTACACAATCTTTCCTGGGTAAGGAGCCTGGAATGATTTACTAACCAAAGGATGAATGAATGCTTGGGATAGTTCAATTTCCCCCAAGTAGTGTCTGCCCAATCTACTGAGATATTAGGTTGAAACAGAGCATAGTATATCAAGGTCATGTTAATTTTACCATTGACACAGCAGCCATCCAAAGTGTTCAACAAGTTTTCAGTATTGCCAAATTTAGTTATCATCATACTTCTAACTTTGAGGAGTTACTTCCACATCCAAGAGTCACTGTCTCTGTTGAACTTGTCATATATTTGAGAGTTGTAGATAGTCACTATGTACCATTTGATCCATAGCAAGTCCTTCTTCTGATGGATCATCCCAAAGAGATTTACAATTGCTGCATTAATCCATGCCTTGGCCGAAAAGAGACCTAAGCCTCTTTGCTTCCTCCCCAAAAAAACTGTATGCCAGGAGATCATATGGATTTTTTTGACCCCAAAGGAACGAAGAGAAAAGCCTATTAATTTTTTCAAGCACTTTAATCATCAATATGTAACTACTAACCCAAAATGTTTGAATCCTAAGTATAACAGATTTGATAAGTTGAATCTCCCCGCATAGGATAATTTCCTATTTTGTTGCCAACTATGGAATTGATCAACAATTTTGCTGATAAGAGAAGAGCATTCAAGATGAGATAGCTTCTTTGTCGTTAATGGCAGATCCAAATATTTCATTAGCAAAGTCCCCTCCATAAAGCCCAGATAAGTGCAATTCTGAGTTCTCAAGTTATCATCAACTCTACTCATATAGATTGAGCATTTGCCAAGGTTAGCTTCCAAGACCGATACCTGACAAAACTCTTGCAAGCATGCATGTAATCTTGTGATAGAGCTTAAATCAGCTTTTCCAAACAATAATAAATCATCAGCAAAAATCAGGTGCGTTATCTTCAGTCTAGAACACTTAGGGTGGAACTTAAACATTCTGTCATCTTTAAGTGAAGATAGCCTCATTGACAAGTATTCCATGCCTAATACAAATAGATAGGGAGATAGCGGGTCTCCCTGTCTCAATCCATGAAATTTATTTTAACTAACACCCATCTGTAGATATTATAATTTCCATTAAGATCTAAAATACGTGTAAGATTTTCTTTGATTTCTATATAAAAAATATCTATTTAAATAATAATAGTATAATTAAACTTTGTGATCTAAAAAAAGATCAAACATACAATATAAGTAATTGCTTTAAAGTAATCTAATCTAATAAAAAGAAAGTAGATGAAAATAATATGAAAA